TGCTCAAAATATCAACTAGGATGACAGCCAATAAACTTAAACTTAACACTGACAAAACCTACTACATTATGTTTGGTAGCAGAGCAGGTGCTGCGCAACTTAACATTAAGATCGACAGCACTCTAATTGCCAGACATAATGAGGACAAATTCCTAGGCCTATACCTCAACAACAACAACCTGAATTTCAGCACCCATATCCAACACATATCAAAAAAAGTATCCAAAACAGTTGGGACCCTCTCCAAGATACGATATTACGTGCCGCAAAATGCTCTTCTCACACTATACCATTCACTCATTTATCCATACCTCACCTATGCTATTTGTACTTGGAGATCAACTGCAGCAATACACCTAAAGCCAATAATAACTCAACAAAAAACTGCAATAAGAATAATCACTAAATCCCATCCCTCGCAACACCCCCCCCCCCTCCGCTCTTCATAGATCTAAACTTACTCCCTGTTCAGAACATCCACACTTACTACTGTGCAATCTACATATACAGGACCTTAAATTTCAATATTAACCTTGACCTAAAATGCTTTCTTGATAGTTGTGACAGGACCCACAGGCATAACACCAGACACAAACATCTCTATGACATTCCCCGTGTCCGACTAAACCTTTACAAAAATTCAATGTATGTCAAAGGCCCTAAAATCTGAAACACCCTACCTGAAAACTCTAGAACTGCAGACACATTCATCACCTTCAAAACTACTGTTAGAAAACATCTTATCTCCCTGATACACCCCATCAACTAACTACATAAAAACCACCTGGTGGTCCACATTTACACTCACTCACCCATTTGACTATAAGCACAGAAATACGTATCCTAATCTTAAAATAATGATTCCTAACTAGTCATAAGTTTGCCTGTGATACTCCAATATAGAAACTATGTATTGTGCCAAAACAAAAGCATTCACATTGCTAAACTCACAAACTAGTATTTGTCACTTGTTATTTAGTCAACTTACTCCACAATTTGTTATAATTTAGGGTTAAGAATTAATCTAAGTTTGCCCGAAATGCCTAGCCATGCTAGGTGTTCTAGTGGCCCCCTCTGTAATTAGTATTTTACTACATGTAAACCACACAATAACCAAAATCTGTAAACCCCACATTGTAAACCTTATTGAGAATAAACTTTGATTTGATTTGATTTGAATACAGTTATTATTCATAGTGTAGCTTACCTAGGATATCCCCCAAAAATCCAGACAAAGTGCTATACTGTGCTGTGTATATATATGGCATAATAAGCATTTTCACTTGTTCAGGAATCAGATGTGATGAGTCTGCATCGTTGAGTAATACCTGTTGATTCTTGAGCTACTCTCCGAGACAGAGAGAGGAAGACAGGTAGAAAAAAAAGAGGAGACAGAGATAAACAGAGACAGAGCTAGACAGACAGATAGACAGGAAGACACAGACACAGTGACAGATAGACATGTTTATGTGTAACAGTGAAAACAAATAAAGCCAAGGTAGTGCACGATAATCAAATGTCACTCCACTGCTGCACCGTCAGCAGTGGAGTGACACTCGTCTTACTCCCGCATGTCCAAAGCATTGCTGGGACCTATAAATACTATGTATACATTTTTAGACAATAGTATGTGACTAAGGTAGGTGAAAATGTTCACCTGTCACTGTGTTTGTGCCTATTTGAGTACTATTTCAGTAGCTAATATTAGTGTCAGAACAAAGATTGACTAGAAAATCAAAATAACTACTATAAATTGCAATTATCAGAACATAAAAATTATATAAATTAAAAAAAAATGAGAAAAAAAGCATATCGGCAACACTTCTGCAAGTGACAGCGCTTCATGTTACCGTCAGGTGAGCAACATGCACCGACTTTGCGGCTTTATATCTCCGTAAGTACAGACCCTAAAACTTTCTTTTTCTACATTACTTTATGTAAAAAAATTTCTCTTTATTTAAAAAAAAAAATAATTTTTTCATAATATTCAGAGCATTGGGCAAGAGAATGTAGAGCTACATTTGGAGAGTTAATGGGTTAATAAGACATGAAATCAATGAATCCCTGGTGTTTGCCATGCTCTTTGCTCTAGCTGGCACTCAACTGAACTGGTGCTCCCACAAGTCTATCGAAAACCTACCAACCAACACGTTCTTCACTTCTACTCTCACCACAACGCCAAAACTAAACGTGGTGTAATTATAGGCTTTTTCATGCATGCACTCACAATCTGCAGCAATGAGTTCCTTGAGGAAGAGTGCTCTCTAATTGAACAAGTATTTTCTAAACTTCACTTTCCTCGTCACTTCATTAGAAACTGCAGATGCTGGGCATATAACATCTTGAACACACCCAGAGAAGACACTGCCAAGAGGGGATACATAGTCCTCCCGACCAACTCCATTGCCAAACATGTTTCCAACATCTTTTACATAAGAACATAAGAAAGGAGGAACACTGCAGAAGGCCTATTGGCCCATACAAGGCAGGTCCTTATCAAAATGACCTCTACCCAAAGCTACCCAAGAATTTACTCCCGTACCCAATGACACAAACCAAACCCAGCCCCTCCCACTCATATATTTGTCCAATCTCTCTTTAAAGCTGCCCAAAGTCCTAGCCTTGATCACCCAACTGGGAAGATTATTCCACGCATGCACAACTCTGTTAGGAAACCAGTACTTACCTACGCTCTTTCTAAATCTAAATTTATCCAACCTGAATCCATTATTCCTGGTACTTACCTGGTTCGACACCCTCAGTACTTTATTAACATCTCCTTTGTTTATGCCTAGAACTGCAGACACATTCATCACTTTCAAAACTACAGTTAGAAAACATCTTATCTCCCTGATACACCCCGACAACTAACTACATGATAACCACCTGGTGGTTCAAAATTACACTCACACACCCACTGACTATAAACCCAGAAATACTAATCTTAATCTTAAAATAATAAATCCTAACTAGTCATAAGTTTGCCTATGATACTCAAATATAGACACCTTGAATTGTGCCAAAACAAAAGCATTAACATTGCTAAACTCACAAATTATGATGTAGTCACTTAGCCTTAATACTATAATCCGTAAGGATTTAATGTTAAGAATTAATCTAAGTCTGCTCAAAATGCCTAGCCATGCTAGGTGTCCTAGTGGCCCCCTCTGTAATTAGTATTTTATAATATGTAAACCACAAAATACCCAAAACCTGTAAACCCCACATTGTAACCCTTATAGAGAATAAACTTGAATTGAATTGAATGATATCTCCATTCATTCTATGTCTCTCCAGAGAGTGGAGATTTAAGGCTTTAAGTCTACCTTCATACAGGAGACTCCTTACACAGTAAATCATTTTAGTCATTCTTGTCTGTATGTTCTCCAATGAGTCTGTATCCATCCCATAGTAAGGAGACCAAAACTGAGCGGCATAATCTAAATGAGACCTCACCAGTGATGTATGGAGCTGTAAAATAACTTTTGGACCTCTGTTACTTATACTTCTTGAGATAAATCTAAGTAATCTGTTAGCCTTGTTGTGCACACTTAGGCACTGCTGTCTTGGCTTTAGATTTCTGCTTACCATGACTCCCAAGTCTTTTTCACATTCTGTATGATCAAGCTCTACTTCACCTAGTTTATAGCTTCGAGTAACCTAGTTTATAGCTTCGAGGAAAGTATTGGTTTGGAAATAGGGCAGTTGATGAGCGGAACAGTCTGCCTAGTAGAGTTATTGAAGCTAAAACATTGGGTAGTTCCAAATTTAGGTAAGATAAATACATGAGTGAGAGGGGTTCGATCTGAGTGAGACTTGCATAATGAGTAAATAGAATCATCAAAACTTATTTCTTGGGTAGCACTGAAAACTGGGTTGGGGAAATATTTTGTTATTGGGAAGGATTGTAAAGGACCTGCCTAATATGGGCCTCATTCCAAGTATCTGCATACAATACCTCATTTCAAGTATCTACATCCACATCCACCACCATCAAGGACATTACCAGTAATAGACAGGACAAGCTTCAATGCTCTGCAGGGGTATACATAATCTCCTGTAATGACTGCAGCAAATTATACATGGGCAAAACATCCAGAGACCTCCAAACATGTATTTCAGAACACCAGTACGCAGGCAGATCGGACAATTTAAGGAATGCCTGTGTTCAACATCAAAATTCACACAACCATTTAATCAACTACACAAATGCAAGACTTATTGCCTGAGAAGAAAACACTCAATACTGCAGAATCCTGGAATAATCACTTATCTGTATATCCAACAACTTCAACCAAAAGAATGGCTTCTATAACATAGATGAACCCCTTGCCAAGAAACTTCTTCACTGTTATCCCACAAACTACATACACAACCGCCAGTCCCATGCAGGTACTTATCAGATCCAACCTACCCAGCATTCTCCACTTGACTCCATCCTATAAATACTCACATACCTTTCACTCAGGTAGATCTGTTTGTGACTTGATAAAGCCCACTGTGTGGGCAAAACATTGTCAATAAAGGATCACATTATACTGCTTATGTGTTTATTTTTCCCACTGTGTCAATATTTTATACCATTCATTTCCAGTCATGGTATTGTGCCTTTTTGTTATTTATTAAAAAGAAGATGAGAAAAATATACATGTACCACTTGAAATATCCTACTAAGAGTATTAAATACTTACGTTGACGAGTAGAGGCAAAAATTATACTTTACTGTGCCATAATGCATTAGTGCTTATGTTATAGTTGTTAAATTTAAAATAGAATAATCCCAACCAGAGGAAAGAGTTTATAGTGCAATAATCAGAGAGTGATCAACACAATAAATATAGAAGTTTATCATAAAAAGAAGTGCCCCACTAGATGGGGAAAATGGGATGATAATGATGTGAAAGAAGTCCAACACTAAAAGCATGATGAGAAGCAAAGTCCACAGTTTTGTGACATTATGGACTATGCAAACAGAAATTAAAACTAAACTGTATGCCTACCAATATCCATAGAGTCATCAGCAAGTACTCCAGCAGGCAACGTGTTCAGGTTGTACTTGTCTCTCATTTTGTCACCAGGCCGATTTCTTGTCCAGAATTTTGAAGTGTGATCATTGGAGCCTGAGCAGAGAATGTGGCCAAGTGGGTGCCATGCCAGATCCCAAATGATGCCATCATGGGCAGCTTCAATGGCTCCAATTTCCTTATCATTCCTGATGACAAAAAGGCATCTTATCATCATTTCTCACTTTCATGGGACAGGGAAAACCTCACTTAGAAATAATGGAAGAAAGTTTAGGAAGACAAGGATTAAGGAAAATGTATGTAAATATTTGCTGTAAAATAACTAAATGCAGCTATAGTGTTTATGGCTTCATTTTGGTCATCATGACAGCACACCTGGCTCCCCATTCCGAAGAAATCACTAAAGTAAACACTAACTTGTGAAATCCATATTTCGTCTCATAAGTGAAGACTTTTTCTTTCAACAAACTGGCTGTATCCTGCAGAAGCAGGGTGGCCCAAAAAGAAAAACAAAAGTTTCTCTTTTTGACTTTAGTAATGTATACAAGAGAAGAGGATACTAGCCCTATGCTCCCAGCATGCCAGTCGCCTCTTACAACATGCATGGCTTACGGAGGAAAAATTCTGTTCCACTTCCCCATGGAGAATAAGTGAAGACATTTTATATTTTATTTTCTTGGTACTGTAAGGCAAGGTAATTTTTTTAGCAGGCATAGTGAGTGAATTCTAAAATCATTACAGCCTCTCCTCACTTAACGATGAAGTTCCATTCCTAAGACCACATTGGTAAGCAAATTTGTCGCCAGTGAGGAGCATACTATAATGGTAGTGGGTTTGTGTCAACCATCTTTGATATTGTTTTAATCTCACCTTTGCACCATTTATAACATTTCTGGTATATTTTTAAATGTTTATACAGTACAGGTCCACCATCACAAATCCAGCAATCAGACATCCAGTTCCATCAGTTATTCAGCACTAATTTTGGCTAGCATAATTTCAAATTTCCAGGGTCGCCACACCAACCTGCTGGCACTACTTGCTACATAAGTCATTCCAATTTCTTTTTCTCCATTTATTGTTATAACCTGCTTACTTTTAGCCCTAGCCATGGTTCCAACGAATAAAAGAAATGCTTCTCGTTGTGTAAAGCACCTACACAGTACATTGTCCATGAAAGATAAGGTGGCTCTGAAGCCATTGTCGGTTGCCATGAGCTCAGTCTCATGATCCTGGGGAATATGCTTTATTATTATGCTAATATCAACACTATAACTTATTTCCTATCACAATTAATCTAATATGACATAATAGACAATATAAATAACAAAAATATGTTAAATACTCCAGAATAAATAATATTTGGCATAACACCGAGCAGTTTGATGGATGAAGGGGATATGGGATACAAGTACCATTCTCCTATCCCTGTCTTGGGCACTTAAATTAGAGAAAACAGAGTATAGCACAGGGCTAACTGTGAAATACACTCATACTGCACCATAAAACTGAAATAAAAAAGCTGTTTTCTCTACAATGATTATCACACATAGCAACATGTGTGTAGAGAACCTAGGATAACCCCAAAAAAGTCAAAGTGGCTTATTTCTAGTACCTAGCTTGGGCTAGCTATCAATGATTTTTGGTAAATATTCGATTCCCAGCCAGGGTAGAAACACTGGGCGTGTTTCTTTACACCTGTTGTCTACGTTCACCCATCAGTAAATGGGTACCTGGGTTTTAGTGGACTGGTGTGGGTCTTATCCTGGGACACTGACCTAACAAGGGGCTTTCTAATATAGTAGCATGTTACTGATGTCAGCTAGGCCTGTATACAATGTACATGTACTTGTAGTAAATAAAGATATTATTATTATTATTATTATTTTTTTTTTTTTTTTTTAACAAGTCGGTCGTCTCCCACCGAGGCAGGGTGACCCAAAAAAAAGAAAGAAAATCCCCAAAAAGAAAATACTTTCATCATCATTCAACACTTTCACCACACTCACACATTATCACTGCTTTTGCAGAGGTGCTCAGAATACAACAGCTTAGAAGCATATACGTATAGAGATACACAACATATCCCTCCAAACTGCCAATATCCCAAACCCCTCCTTTAAAGTGCAGGCATTGTACTTCCCATTTCCAGGACTCAAGTCCGACTATATGAAATAACCGGTTTCCCTCAATCCTCACTAAAATACCTCCAAAAAACCCCCAAAAATTTATCCCCAAAC